TACTTTAAAAAAAATATCACACTTGGTATGCACGGATTTGAGTTAGGTACTATATTAACATAAAACCTAACTACTGTTTATTTAAACAAAATAGGTATGCTTAATGAGCAATAAAATGTTTTCGCTTTCTTTAATTCGTAATACTGCTGAAAAAATATAAATTGTTCTGTTTTTCAAGTAAACTGGAGATTTATTTATGAAATTGTTGTATTGTTTCACCGTTCTACATATTTTGTCGATGTAAATTACTTAAAATTAGGCTAATTCGGTATTTTTCAAATAAAATGTATCACCTTGTTTAAGATTCTGTCAAAAATTCAACTGATTATAATATTGGGTTTTCTTTTTAGAACAAGCTATATTTTACCGGTGGAAAATATAATAAAAGAAGAAGAAAAAGAAGGATATATATTGTTGGAAATAGGACCAATGAAAATCCCTGAGGAGACAACATGTCCGAACACACGTACATACACTTGCAACAACTGTCATAAGCCATTCACTACTAAAAAACAAATTGCCTGTCACTTAAAAAAATGTCCCACCGTGGATGTCCAAACCAGGCCTCATGTACATTTAAAAAAGTAAGTAGATTTTTTTAGTAAAACCGATGTTTGTTAAAATAATGTTTGATTGATTTTTAAAAAGTGTTGAGGGTTGATTACAAATAGAAAATATTATCCTTTTATACTTAGTTTTGTTTTTCGAATGGACGGGATGATTAGGCAATGAGGAATAGTATAAAGACAGTGTGAAGAATGAGTATGAAAGAAAAAATTTAATAAACAAATGGGGCCAACAATTTGTGAGGGCAGAGGAAAGTTGTCTGACCGAAACTCATTTGCAAGATGCAAAAGAATACCTTATTTTTTAATTTTTTTTTTTATAAGTTAACCGATAGTAATAATACTAATTTTTTTTTTTAGAATAAGCGAAATTCTACGGGATGAAGAAAAAAATGACATTCTGATGTCAAAGAAACGGGAAGAAAGCGACAAAAAGCTGGACAATATTGCGAATGAAAAACGTCTATTTCTATGCTGTACGTGCGGTGAATTATTTACCAGCCGAGACAAAATCACTGATCACTTGTCAAACAAACACACTCCTAAACGTTATTTAAACAAGAGGAAAAAATGTCGCCGACCAAATGTAGACTGGCTACTGACGTTTTTCGGACACGGTAAGAAATACTACAAATGTATGTGGTGCGTTAAATGTTTTAAAAGCGTGTCCAACGTCAACCAACACATGAAGATCCACACCGGCGAAAAACCCTATTCTTGTGCCGTGTGCTCAAAGGGGTTTATTCAGCGGTCATGTCTCAAAGTGCACGAGCGCATGCACACCGGCGTCAAGCCGTTCGTGTGCGACGTTTGTGCTAAACAATTCAATCAGAAAATCGAGCTGAAAGTGCACGAACGCTCGCACACGGGCGAAAAACCTTTCAGGTGCGACGTGTGTTCCAAATGCTTCAGCTGCTCGTCGAACCTGATCCGGCATCGAAAAGCGCACACCGGAGAGAAACCCTTCAAGTGCGACGTATGCCCCAAAAGGTTCACGCAGAAGGTCACTCTGACGGTGCACGTGCGAAGTCACACGGGCGAGAGACCGTACAAGTGCCCGGTGTGCGGCAAGCGTTTCGCTTGCTCTTCGAACTGCACCAAACACCAGAGACTGCACACCGGAGAAAAGCCGTACGCGTGCGAGTATTGCTCGAGCAGTTTCGCCGAAAAGTCCTCGCTGACCGTACACGTGCGCGGTCACACGAACGAAAAACCGTACGAGTGCGAGGTGTGCAACAAACGTTTCACCACCGCTTCCAATCTGTTGAGCCACCGGAAAGTGCACACCGGCGAGCGGGCGTACAAGTGCGCCGACTGCGGGAAATCGTTTGCCCAGAAAATGCACCTGCAGGTGCACTGCCGCATCCACACGAAAGAAAGGCCGTACACGTGCGGCACGTGCGACAAGGGGTTCTCGCATAGGTCCAATTTGAGAGTGCACGAGAAAACCCACAACCCCGAGAAAGCGTACGGCTGCGAGGTGTGCAAGAAAATGTTCACGTGTCTGTCCAATCTGATCAGACACCGCGCGGTGCACACCGGCCACAGACCTTACCAGTGCAAAATCTGCGAAAAAAAGTTTGCCCAGAACATGCACCTGAAGATGCACATCCGCGTGCATACGGGCGAGAAGCCGCACAAGTGTTCCGTGTGCCAAAAAGCATTTGCCAGCAAGTCCAACTTGAAGATGCACGAGCTGGCGCACAGCAAGGAGAAACAATTCTCGTGCAAGTGGTGCAACGCGCGTTTCAGTTTCAGCACCAACATGCTGAGACACCAGAAGATGCACACCGGCCAGAAACCGTACGAATGCGCCATATGTCAAAAAGGGTTTGTATACAAGGCTTATCTTAAAACGCACATTAAAACTCACGAACGCGAAACTGCGAAAAATCGAAATTCGCCTGCAGTTTGAGTCGTACAACGGCAAACTTTCAGTCCAAAACCCTATTGCATTTTGTTTATTTTATCTTATTTGTACATTAGATATACATTTAGCTTTTTCCGGTTTTTTTTTTTGTTCAATATAAAACGCACCATCAGTACAATGCACAATGTCACGTATAGTAATAACTAAGGGAGGGGAAACCACAATAAATAATTTTAAACAAAGTAGTTGTAACTTGTATTTATGTTTGTAGAGTTAACCAATAATAATTGGTAAACGGTTTTTTAATTACATGTTTTTTTTTTTATGTACTCCGTTGTTTACAAAATTATATAACCATTGTGCTTTTATAAATTTAAGTTTATCATTTGTATACTGTGAATATACATTTTTTGTAAAAACAACATTATTATTTATTATATTGAGTATGTTTTCGAAAATAATATTTTAAAATAAACTTTCTAATGATTCCCAATAAGCAATAGTGTTTATAATTTAAAATAATGTGTCGTGTACCTTGTAAGTTTACTAAAGGTGTACAGAAAAAAAATTTATTGTGCATAAAAAAAATTATCAGTTTTATACTTTTAAGAGTTGAAAAATGTGTAAATGGGGTTTTTCACGATTTGGATTTTTAAGATGTTGATCTTTACCGATTTTTGGCTTTGTAAATTACCTTTTGGGAACGATATCTAAGTTATAAACTTTGCATCGGTACAATTATGATGAGTCATGGGAAGAGGCAAAAATAATTATTTACTTATTTGTTTTCACGTTATATAGTACCTAGGTAAGGCTACTTTTATCCATGTTACTGATTGGAGTCAATATTGACATTTTAATTCACTTGAGAACATGTGTGAAGCAACAAAAAAAAAATACATCTTTACTGTTGTAAATCACTTCTTATTAAGTTTTATTTAATGCTTTTATTTTACCTTTAAAGTTTAAAAAAAATTAATTTCCACTTTAATAAATTGTTCTAATTTACTTTAAACTATTCGAAATTCAGAAAAAAAACCCAATATTAAAAAACATAAATATTGAAATAGTATTTTTTGTATATATGTTAAGAAGAATTTGTCAAACTGGAAATTACAGTTTTTCCTAAAAGGTTGGATGTTTATTATAAAACCTTGAAAAAGTTTTCATAGTTTTACAAATTTACCAATTTAAATTGAATTTAAAATAATATCAATCAGAATTTCTTTAATGCTCATAATTGAAAATGTGTCAATATTTTACTACATTTAAAATTTTATTATTGTAAAATATAATAACTATTGGATGGTTGTGTGACAAGCAATCAAAACCTTTAAAGCCGATTTCAATGCCAGTTTTTTATTCCCATTAGTTTTGGTCCGTGAAAGATTGACTAATTTACGGTATCTTAATTTATTTATAAAATTGTCTTGAATGAAAATATTAAAAAAAAAAATACATCATAAATCACAATGTTGATTGTTAAACCAACAATTAAAGTAAGTATATTTAAAAAGTTAAGGGTATTTTTTTATCACAAAATATTTAGTATTAATACTAGTATTATATTGCTCTGGCCACACACATTATAATAAAATATGCAATTGTATGAATTGTTTGTATTTCTATAACAAACACATTTTGGAATTTGTAATACTTAAGAACAAAGAATATAAACAAGAAGCTTTAGATTAAAAATTTACAATTTTTAACGTCCAAGTTTATATATAATTTCAAGTAAAACAAATAAGAAAGGTAAAACCGGTTAAAAAACAAATTTATAATTATTATATGGTATTTTACAATGTATTTTTTTTTATATTGGTCTCCGCTTTCTTCGGCTGTATACGACATGAGCATTTTAATTTGACTAATATTATTTGTTTCTAAATTACATATTGTTATCTTACTATTATATAATAATTGGTATTAGCGTCACACAAAAAGCAGAAGGGCCGTTTGTAAAGTCGTTTTATTCGATTTTTAGCTCGAACGTTGAATTATTTGAATTTTGAAAAACTGGAAATGTAACCAAATTATTGTATAGCTGTTAACGATGTGTGGTTTTTCTGCTGCTAAGTAGTCTCATGTTATATACAGTTTTCAAATTTCCGTTTAACCGTAACAACACATTTAAGTCGTCAAGCCCGAAGCTGTATTTATCATTCACAAAACAAGAGGACGGCCGACAGGGGAGGGCGAAAAAACGTTACCCCAACTGTTCCTTCCGCCTTTTGGACCGTCGCCCGGTACGGACCGGATAGGCACGGCGGTTATAAATACATAAGGACGGATTTTTTGCAGATTCAAATCCAACGTGGGGCTAATGAGACATAACGACGGTATCGGCTAAACGGGCGCTTGATTGTAAAAATAATAATAACTAACCACCTGTTGGCGCGTGTCGGCCGTGAGACGGCGGTTTTGCACGATTCCGCAGAATGGAAACATTTAAAATTAAACTTGGATATTGTCCATGTGAATAATATTTCTGCCGTTTGGCATGGTATATGAACGTCGGTCGTTCTAACATCTTATTTCTTTGATAACCGCCGTCTCGAGCGAACAATATTGTGTGCACACACAATCAAACGCTCGCGAACACTGTGTTAGTGGTTTACAATCGGAATTTTGTTTCTTTTTTTCTTGTACTTGTGCTTGTTCTTGATAAACCAATCCTTAATAATTAAGCCTTCCCAGCTGCGCGTGTGTGTGTGTGTGTGTGTGCGTTCGAATCGACCGGCGTCATGTCTTGGTTCCTGTCGGACGACGACGAAGAGGATGAAAACCTGCTGTTCAGCCCTGCTTTAATGGCTCGCCGGGCCAGTGAGAGTTGGATCGACACACCGCCCTTTGAGGTATTATTTTTGGTTTGTTGCTAAATCGATAACTGCTAGGTACGGTTATACTAGTAGGTCCTGCGATAAAACACCAAAAAAAAAAAAAAAAAACGCCTAAAAAACTGAATAGACAAACCATCTGGGTAAAACTATCTTTGCCTAAAACTGGAAATAGGACTTTGAAAATTTGTCCCACTCTTGCCCTAAGCATGTATGCATTGCATACCTATAATATATTAAATATACTACTAAGGTCGGCCTGCAAATATGTCGCTTAAGTCGGTAAACTTAGTAGGTTTATCGGCCATGCCAAATGAGGACTTAAAAGTCCAGGTTTTTTCTATTCTTTTGTGTAGTAAATTAATAAACTTTATAATACAAACAACAAAAAAAAAAACAAAGTAAAAACTGATAAACGTCTCTCTGGCGCCTTAGCTCGGTTTATTTTGTACAAGTTCAACACCTTTTATTTTTGGAACACTAGTATTAAATATTCGTACAATGTTTTAAAAATACATAACATAGACCTTGAATGGATTTTACCACACGCGATTTTCCATTATAAAAAAAAATAATGATACAGTTTTTAACGAGCTCTACTGCGTTGCTGGTGATTTATCAATAATAATCCCGGTCAACATAGTTCTGTCAATATTGTTTTTTCTGTTTATTCCCACATATCATATACAAGGCGATACATTGCAGATAAGACACTGGTTATCTCTTAAAATAATTGAAATTTTTAACTTTTAAGACTTAAATAGTAACGTATATACTTCATTAAGGATATTTTACTGACAAATTTGACCGTTCGGTATCCAGTTTTGGACAACTACTTTTTAAGTTTAAAATTTAGGACAGACGGGGTGGAGTGTAGTAGAGCAATGCGCACACATAAAACTGATACTAAACACTATCTTTCCTCTCGACCTACAATTTAAACTTTAATTAATTAAGAAAGAATTATTTAAATCTGGTTATTGACCAGTCAAGATTATCAGCAAATTATTTTTGTTTAAACAATTATTCAATATATCCCATTTAAGTTTTAAGCGCTGATATAGAGCGCTGGAAAATACTAATCAAGGAAAATAATTAGTTATTTCATAATATTGTAAAATAACCTTAACAAAAATGTATTAAAAAAGAAACTACAAAATTGCAATTGTTTGAAAAGTAAATGAGTGTCGTATTTTTGGTTTTGTAGCTTTTAAGCCTATGAAATTCCTTCTCTGCTTTGAAATAAATGTGTGAGCATTAGAGACCATTTTTAAAGTACAGTGTAATATTTTTAGGTGTTATTTTGCCAAATTTGCTGTTTTCTTATGAATAGTTTTAGCTACTTTTGGTTCAACTTGTAACTACTAACAAAACGGCGGTTTTTGAACAAAATATGTCCAGTCACTATAATTATATTTTCTTCTTTTTAAAACATTATATCTGTACGTTTCGTACAATAATTGTAATCTACATTTCTTATGTATTGATTAGAATATATACATAAACATATTTTGGTTAGAGTTGACTGTACATTTTTGAATGACATTTAAATTGTTTAATATATTTTTAAATTTCATTAGATAAATTTCATTTTCATACTTTACTGCGTTCCCTTACTATTTTTTTTTCAATTCAAATACTGGGAACGAAAATTCCTTCGGTTTTAAACTATCTTGGAACTAGCATACGATTCAACTGAGTTTTTCTGTATTATTATTATTAACTACATATTATTACTCTATTTACAAAATAATCGTCTTATCTGTATAATAAAAATAAACCAAAAATAACCCGTTAAGGTAAAAGTTAAACGAAAAGTAACCTCGTTTAAGAAACAGCTTTGACGTTTTTCTTTAAAACAGTTTTTTTTGTTATAAAATCTCAACTTAATTTGAAAAAACGTCGGGGGGGGGGGGAGCAACCTTTTTATTTTGAGAATAAAAATTGCATATTCCCTCGCCGTTCCTTTGAGTAAGTTTTAATTTCGTTACTTTCAACGAGCAAGTCTTTAGACTTTACTGAACAAGACTGGCTACCGCTGACCAGGCGCGTAGAGAGGGGGGGTGTTATGGTGTTGTAACATCCCCTCGGTTGTGTTATGATTTCATAAAACATTATATATATATATATATATATATATATATATATATATATATTATATATAATGTAACTTATATATATATATATATATATATAGTATGATATATGTAAACATTACAAATTTGTATGATTGTAAGATTCAAAAAAATATAAAATGTTGTTAAGTTATACTTGAAGTAAGTATTTTAGATAACGCTCCCTCTTTGGAATTCCTGGCTACGCACCTGCCACTGACCCTCCCACAAGTCCCCTTTTGTGATTGCACACATAAACCTCTTGGCTAAACTTCCTTGATTGTGTGTGTGCCGTGCAGGAAGTTTCCGTCCAAGTGGCGTTGCAGCGGAAAAAGAGTTTGCCGGACGTACAAGTTCCTGCTTACGCACAAGCGTCGATCACCAGAGAGGAAGTATCACTGTTAAGTTCGGCCCGTAGGGAGGAAATCCGAAGAATGGAAGAAGAAAACGAACGACTCCGGGCCAACCCGTTGCTCTATTTAGTCAGTCCGCACATGAAGGTATGTAATATGTTATTTCAGACAGTCAAATGTCTTTTACTTTTAGCAGTAAATTGATTCAATGATTCATTCGGTTTTTTTGAAGATAAAACATTGTTCTTGCAGTAGTTTAGTTAGACATTTATTTAAATTTACTTAACAGTGTAACTAGAAAATCAAACAATAAACGCAGAATCCACTTAAGTTCATTAGGAACAATACCGGCCCTATTTTTTATGGCAGTACACCGCTTATGCTACAATATTTATATTATAAACAATTTGACTAATAGAATAGCGAATTACTAAATTGTAAACAACAACAGAAATGCATAACGTTAGCCCCGCATTGAAGTACCATCAAGTTTTGAATACTTAAAAAATAAAAGACTTACTCGGTTTATTAACCGTCAACTTTGATTTGCTATATCTTCGCTAAAAACAGTCGGATGTATTCTACATTTCTATAGAACATTGATTAGGCATGGCTTTGTTTACACATGCCCTTAAATATTTAGTATATATAAATATACTAAAAAAACAAATAAAAATACGGGTTTAAAGAGAAAATAAAATTATTAATCTGAAAGTAATTTAATCGGATATAATCGTTTCGATGCGAATCTCTATGTATATTAATAAAACCAGTACAGTAAAAATATTAGTTAAGAACAATGGTGAAGTACAATAACTACACCACTGAAACAGTGTACATTAAAACCAAGCACTGTATTAACAGTTTAAACCAGTACAGTCTAAACTAAATACAGTATAAATCAGTACAGAAGAAGTTGGCAAAGTTTTTTTTTTATTTTGTAAATCATTCTAAAAGGTTAAAGTTCAGAATTTATGAACTTGTCAATTACAGTTCAACAATAAAATTGTATTTTCCTTGGACGTGAAATTGAATTGACTCTGTACAAGAAACAGAGTTACAGATATTTTAGAATAATTAATTAATTAAAAAAAAAAAAAAAACTTTTGAAGTACAAAGAAACTCTATATTTTCGTGTCTCAATTGAAGTGATGAGAACCATAAGTGTAAATTTTTTTTTTAAAGTCTTACAGGAGAGATAACTAGAAATTGGGGGGGGGGGGCAATAGTTGTAAAAGAAATTCAAATAGAAAAGGTTTTTATCTACAAAATATGAATGTATTGTAGGATGGAACTAAGGCCGCGTTATTTTTTCCGGAAGGCGGTCTTACATTTGGTGCATTTGGTTATATTTTCCTTCTTGGCCATCAGTAAGAAACACAACGGGAAGCACGTGCCACAGGCTCCCATTGACTTCACTGGATTGCTGCTATGCGTTTTTCTCAGCTCTGTCGCATTTTCGCAGCACCTGGGGCACTCGTTCCCATCGGTGTCCTGGGTTTTGGAATCGAATTGATCAGCGGCCGAACTAGATTCGCTCTTTTCGACCATTTCATACGTACACTCCAATATCTGAATAGGAAGGGTGATGGGAAATAATTTGTCTGGAGCTTAATTTTGTCCTAAATTATGAAATTTTTTCAGTGTACGGTACCCCAGAACTCCTAATAGCCCCCCCCCCTAAAAGCTCGTAAAATGCTCATATCTTAGTCGAAAAAATAGCCTTTCGTCATACAACAACGTGTGGGTTTAGCTCTTGCAAGCTTTTGATTTCAGCTACTCCCGTGTTTAAGGCATTTAAAAAACAATGAACATAATAATATTTATTTACTTTGTTTTATTCATAATTCATAATACGAATTCTAGTTATCTTTTTTTTTTTAATGCACAGTAATTCTTTAATTACTTCATCAGGAGTCACATCAATTTCTCTGTGGCGTGATAACAAAGCTAAACGGTTTAGTCTAGTTTACAATTTTTTAAAAAAAAAGGGCAAGGTAGGGGATACAATTTTAATAATGGCTAACGTACATACTCTGTTCAATTTTTTATTTTAGAATATATATATAAAATATATAGAAATATATATATATATATAGGGTGATCCAACTAACGTAAGACACTCATTTTTTCTAAAAATAAAAATATTTTGAAAAACATTTTTTTCCTAAACTTTTAGGTACATATTTTACTACATTTTTCAATATTTTGAAAAATTTATCAAGCCAAAAAGGGGGATTTTTGTTTTTTTAAATGGCAATATATGTTTTTAATTACATAAATTTGTAGACAAAAAATTAAAAATTATGTTACCGTTTGAAGTTTGTATTTTCATTTATTTGTTCATTTGTTATGACTTTATAAAAATTTGTTTTTTTGACTGTATTTCTTAATATTTTTAATCGTTACTACAAAGACGAGTAGTTTTATTACATTGCATACAAATAATTTGACATGTTACCGTACTCTGTATCATAATCAGATATAGTAAATAACCTATAATCTAAGTAATCTGTAGATAAGAACCTTTGTCTATTTCAAAATATTTTATTGTGAATTCCTAGTTGTTAGAATGTTATCGCCGATTGGACAATGCGAACATAAATATGAATTTGATGTGCTACCGGTTTTTGAAAACCGAAGAAATATGATTATTATTAAGAGGAAATGTAGTATCTTAACAAAGTCATGACTTATGAACAGATTAATAAAAATAAAAATTTTTAACGCTAACATATTTTTAAATTTTTTGTCTACAAATTTATGTAATTAAAAACATATGTTGTCATTTAAAAAAACAAAAATCCTCCTTTTTGGCTTATAAGGACTGGTGATAAAAAATTTTCAAAATATTGAAAAATGTAGTAAAATATGTACCTAAAAGTTTAGGAAAAAAATGTTTTTCAAAATATTTATATTTTATCTGTATATATATATATATGTATACTATGTTTTGTTAACCTTTGTGTCCTTGTGTTTGGATTGCATGTGACCTACAAACGTCCCGTAATCGTCGGAGTCTCCCGTGACTGATTCGGAGCAAATCAGACACTCGGCTTCGACTTGCATTTTAATTTTTCACAGCTGAAAAACGATACCGACGAAATGGATAAAGCACACGAGTGTATATTTTCTAAAATCGGTAATATAGAGCTATATCAACTAAGCGAATAACTGCAGACAACATACAATTCAAACTGCGACAGTGATTGCTACTGCTATAGAAACAATATCGATAATTTCGCGATTAAAAAATAAAAAAACCAAATTGTATGGCCGTGTTTATAAGTTTTAATCAAATATATTATTATGTAATTGTATGCATCAACATGGTTTGCAAATAACATATACCTAAGCGAATTAATTGCCAAAAAAAACCTCTAAGAGTAGTACCAAAAAAAAAAACTAAGAAAATAGTACTAAAAGAAAGTACCAAAAAGTGGGCTAATAAAAATTAACGAATTTATCACATTCAAAATCTGCATTGAATCTTGCATTATTTATAGCAATAGCATGGACAGGTCTGTTTTTTTTCAAATTTTTAGACCAAAAGACCTGAAAACATTTTGACTACTCAGGATGGTCTAATTTCAATTCTGTTAAGATATACTACGATTTCTTTGGCTACTTTACTAGGTCATGTAAGAAACAGAATTTTGATTTTTTTTAAACTGTACTGATTTATACTGTACTTGGCCGTTATACTACATACAGATTCGCATCGAAGCGTTTCAAAGTGATTAAATACCCCAATCCAACCACTATGCTAATTTATAATTGAGCTTGCTTTATACTGTACTAGTTTGGACTGCAATAGACTAAACTGTGCTTGGCTTAAACTGTACTCTGGTTAAGGAGGAACTTAAATTATACTCTACAGGTTTAACCAATAAACTATACTAGTTTAGAATGTAAATATTAGGCATCGCTGGTTTGGATTGTGTTAGGTTTACGCTGTGCTTGAGTTAGGCTGGCCTTGATTTGAACGGTTTGGTTTTTTTTGTGTACTTTTAATTTTGTCAGAAAAATTGGTCAATGTTTTATACAATTTGTACCCTCCACAAGACGTGTTATTAAATTAAAATTTTTTTATTTTAATAGATGATTCAGTTTGCAGGACAAAGTTATGCAATATTATATTTGCTGTACGAATTTGTCTAGGCTTTATTAGCTATACGTTTTAATTATTTAATTAGTTATTACACCCTTTTGTGGAGAGTAAATATTGTATTGAGTTTTGACCAATTTTATAAAAAAGAAAAATGAATGGATAATTTTTTTTAACTGGATTTTGGGTTTTTTAGCTGTTGTATGTAAGCTTGTACTCGATTAAATTGGTTGAAAAAAATGTTTTTTTAAAACTATGATTATAACATATTTGTAGTTTAATTAGATATGTTTGGTAAAAACTAAACATCTTTTAGGTATCGTTAGATATTTTCAAAGGCTGTAGGGTTTTTATAAAAGAGGTTTTTAGTGTTCGAAAGAATATTCCAGCCACAATGTATATTTTAACAAGATAACATTTATATATTGGGGTCGAACCCCTATTGTATAATCGAAGGGGAGGGTTTCGTTTTCATGAGTAATCTAATTCCCCAAGCAGTAATTTTCCATTTCGACCATTGGGGGCAATTCTATAGGACTTGTTAGGGACCCTTTATTTTTCGTTGATTATAAGGCGCATTTCCTCATTAATTTTATAAAGGGGACACTGTCGCAGTCTATATTTTATATTGGAAACATTATTTTATTATTGAAGAAAAAAACTAAGAATATATTATGACTGGATCGAAAATTGGATTTGAGAACTGTTATTATAAGACTAAATTCAGCGAATAAAATGTCAAAATAATAAACAACCAAGGGAAATGTGTAAAATACATTTACAATTTCCGGCTTAAACGCATATAAGAAGCAGATTTTTAGGAGAGAGTGATTGTACATTAAACTCAAATTTGTTTTAAATTTGTACTCACCACACTCCTTTAGCTATTAAGGTGGTTCTCACTTCTCGACTATTATCTTGGTACCATAAAAAAATGCATAGATTGCATTTTACTTTATTTTATTTAACCAGACAATTTTAAGTCTGATTGTACATACTGTATTTGAGTTAAATATAAGTAAAATGTGCTTGTCCTTTGCACACCTGTTTTCTTATTTGGCATTTTACATGTTGACAGTAAAAATACAATATTGTATGGGTTTTTTCGTGCTTGTAGTACTTTAATTAATCAATGAAATTAACTGCACCACAGTACACAAATACTACTTATAAATTTAGAACATCAGTAAATGTGTGCATATATAAGTATTTACTTAAGCAGTCCATACTTGCTTATGTCATTTTACAGGATTGGATCTCAAGACAGCAATTGATGTTGGCCATATTGTTCTTCAATATTACATTGGCGTTGATATTTTTTAAGCTGTTGGCCTCCTAGACTTGCTATTCGAATCAAGTGACGAAAGAGATAAATGTCAAAACAGATAATTAATATTATTATTATGTAAAAATTAAAAACTCCCTTAAATGTATCGTCTATTGTTTTGCCATAAGCTCAATGAAAAAATGTAGGTAGATAGTTAACAGATGATTTACCATTGTTGTCGGTTACTTGTTTCTGTGTAAAATAATATTAATAATAAACTTAGTAAAAGATTGCTAAAATTAACTTAAGTATTTATACTTCTATTTAAGTACCTAGTTAAATGTGTAGTTATAGTTTTATAAAGTATTAAGAATTTTTTTTTTTAAAGAATATACAATTTTGTATACCATAAAAAAAATATTAGCAATTCTAAATTAAAAAAAAAAACTATGTATATATTTTTGTTTACCTCTAACCGTCTTCAAGAAAATATGGTTAATATTTGTATTTAAACTAGGTATAATTTTTAAGTTTACTGTTATGTAACAAAAAGAAATATAATATGGTTAACATTTTTCAACTACATTTCTTTTGAATTGAATAATTTGAATCGTGGTTTTTACAATGTATGTAATAATTTTATTTAACAATTGTTAAATACTAGTGGGACAATTTTATCTGTTTATTCATAATTTTAGTATATAACAATAGGTATTGATTAGGCTTACAAAACCAACAAAATAAAATTGGTAAAATGTACATTTAAGTTCAAACAAATAATTCTCTTGATTAAAAAAAAACTAAATATTATGAAAAAAATAAGTGCCATTTTTTGTCACTACCTGATTAGTCTTGAAATACCTCAAATGTTTAATTTATTAATAGATTAGATATATTATTTTTGAAATTATTTTTAAATATACCGGATTAAATTAGTTGCTATACAATTTAAGGGTTGGAAATGACCGACGACTGTAATAATATATTTTACTATTGTAAGCTAGGTAATAGATTGATAGTTACCTAATTAATATAGTGATAACGACAGAATAAGATTATTGTTGTCTCAGGTTGATCACTACAACAATCATAAATAAATACCTTCTGCACTATTTTTTTAACTAATATTATTTATTAAACAAGTAGTATTCCTAGAACTGATATTATAAGTATGGTAACATATAAATTACTAGTAAAGACATAAAATCAACTTGAACCCTAAACCATAAAAATTGTACACTTCTTGCGTACACGTGTTACGACAACGATGTTGTCATCTTCAGCGCTAACAACAGACAGATAAATTACTATTTATGTTTATTGCAATATCTATTTTATTCATTTCAAAACCGTTAACATCCATATAAAGAGTAATAAAATAATTATGAATACACTACACAGTAAATACTAAGTTATATTAATCAATATTAAAAAGATGTTCTACATAATTAAAAGGTATTGTTTTTTTTCGGGCAACATCCAATTTGTCTAAATATTTATCAAAATCACAGACAAAAAAATAATAGTTTTATTTAATCTATACAAAATGACAGAAAATGAAATTACAGTTGTCAGCGCATTTTTCCAAATTAAACATTACAAAATTTAAAAAAAAAACAAAACAAATTATTAGTCGTTTTAAAATAGTTTATTTATAACTATACTAAGATAATCGGAATGTACAAATAAATTAATTAGAGTTTGACGTTGACATTTGTTAATTCACTTAAGAAATTTGATAGAGTGAGGAAATGTCTAACCTTAAATATAATATAAGATATATGTTTTAAGATAATATAATATAAGATATATATTTTATGGTAATATTATTTAGATATATATATTATGTGATATGCGCAAACAAATTTTCTGAGTTTCCATTCACAAAAAAGTTTTTAGAACACTTTTGACGTTTTAAAAATATTTTTAGCTCAATAATTATCAATGTATCAATTACTAATTTACAACAATATTTTATAAGAATATATGTACATGGAAACATGTTTAATTAAGTGGCAATGTTAAAATAACATTTTTTGTGTACTGTATTATTTTAATAAAAAACTCATACCTACAACTATAAATTATTGTCTCTTAATAATAATCAAAAAACTTTATAATCACCTATTTTTTGATGGGTTGGTTCAAAACAGTTTTTTACAATTTTAAAAATGTGGACACAACTGTTCTTCGACATTATTAAGCTGACACTTCAACGTTACCAATCGTTACACATTGTCAGGACTAAAATTACTATACAAACAATTTGGTGTATTTAAAATGACTATTATCAATTTGTGTTATATTTTATTATCTATTCATTTATGATGAAAAGTCATATTAGTTAAATGCTGTTCGTTTTTTTTTTGCATTTATTCTGATAAGGGCGTAAGGGGTATTTTATACCTAACCGTAAGCCTTTAAAATGCAATAAACCTTTGTTCGGCCATTACTAAACTGTTATTATCTATCAAGTTACCATAATAGGTATATATACCTTTAAAAATTACTAGGAATGGCGTTGGTTTTCTTTAGAAACCACGTTTTATAACAAGCAGCCGCGAAAAGGCTACTCGACAGATTTTGGTCTTGTATAAATCCTTTCCGGTTAATTTCCGGTCGCGAATACCTTCGGCGAAGCTGTGCCACTGGCGGAATTGAGACGTTACCTAAGTCCCATATTCTAAACTGCAATAATAAAATATGAAAAAAATTACCATAAGCATCAATCGGTAAACGTGTGCAATAATTATTGCCCTTTTAGTGTCTTTACTTTGTCCTGGAAAACCGCTTGGAATATTTCCGTTAGATACACCCGTTTCGATGGCATGTCCGTAACAAAGTTACTGATGGTCTGTGTTTGACCTATGAATATAAAACAAAAAAACATCTCAGAAAATTATTTACTTCCTCAACAATAAGACTTAGCGTGTAGCAATGATGTACGCAAATTAATGTTGTGCAGTAAAAAAACAGAAACAGACAGAAAATTGGATCAAGTAGGATCAAAAATTGGATTTTAAAACAGATTTCAAAATGTTTTTTTTTTTTTAATGCCGGTAAGTTACAATAAAAAATTAAAAACCGTAAAAAATAAATAACGATATTGTAAATTGAAACAAAATATTGAAAAACAACAGATAAAAAAAAACTAAACAACGCTTAGGTAATATTATAAAACCGCAATCTAAAATATTTAAAACTGTTTTACATAAACCAAAATATAAAAACCAATACCTAACTATATATTATGTTAATTTGTTTACTCGTTGAAACTCATGAAAAAGAGTTAGCTGAAAAATGTAATGATGTTATGTTAAATAATAATAATCTATTTTAATAGGTTTCTGGGTATTTATAGTTTTTATACCTACACTCCTCGTCTAAAATGTTTTTTATGTACAAAGAATTTTGACAGTTTTCTAATTGTCAATATTTAAACAGACAATTATTTAAAGAACTATTAAAATTGAAATATATATATAAAATATAAGTTGAATAATTATCAATTTTTATTTGAACAAATTTATATAAGTAATAAATAAAAAAATGATTTCAATAGACTTTTAATTTTTAACTCAAATAATTTTTATTTAAATAAAAATTGAAACCATAAAATCAAACAAACATTTATTTATTTATCTATTTCGAAAGATTAGATTCAAATAATTTTTATTAAATACAAAATTATTTTAAATAATATATTGTTGGACGATTGCAAAAATATTATTTACAGTAAATAAAAATGTTTTTTAAATAACTCAATAATTGCAAATTACTATTTTTGTCATTTGTTATTTTATCAAAAATTTACCAGGTTTTTGTTACACCGTGATAATAATAACTAAACTGATACTGTTACTGCTAATGGTATTTTCTATTAAAATGAAAACCGAATATTAAACGATTCCATCGTATAACTCAAACCAATTAATAAAAAAAAAAAAACTAACGCATATTATCGTTATGATAAGAAAAATATACTAAATGCTACTTTTTTTCTACGGTTTTTTGTAGAAAAGGATCTGTGGGATGGACAGAATAATAATTACGAATGGAACAGTTTGGCAGATGCGACGGCGAAGAGGCAGGACGGAGAAAATTAATTGTTGTTAACGGGGATTAGAGTAGGGATTTGTACGCCGACAAAGACCGAAGGAAAGGTGTGTGGATGTGTATAGTATATAATTAATGCCGATGGCGTAGGCACGTTTGTGGGTACATAGATTATCGGCCGCCCTTTTGGGGCGTGAGATGAATATTTCAAGCGTGAGACAAGGATGCACATACGGGGTGTGATACGTACCGACGAAATGGTAGTGTTTTAAAGTTTCTACCAGAGCCGGTCGGTTTGCACATTTTAAAGCTAAGTCCGGCAAACGGTCAGGCTGTTGGCCGGATCCGACGTTCAACAGTACGAATTCGAATTCGTATTCATCGTCGGCGCCGTAAAAAGCGACGTCTACGAAATAATGGTAATACGTCATGTAGGCGGAGAACGAGGGGATGAAATCCCGGAACAATGCAGTGTGTGTGTGTGTATGTATTGTATGTGAAAAGAGAAAGAAAGACGGTCGTATAAAACGTACTATAGTTATATAGCGCACACGATATGACGGGGTGTACCGCAAAGACCCGCACTTAGACAGCCGTTGGTTTCCCGGACTCGCTCTGCGCGAGGGGTCGGCCCTCGACCCGGGGGACCTACGCACACAATAGGGCGGTGGTGCGCATCCCCGGTTTTGCTATGCGAACAATGGATCAATACGGCTGTGCGGGTCCCAGCTGCACCCTACGCACCCTCATCCCCTGAAAGGAATGTCGAACGTTCATATAGAAAAGTCCCATCGGCCCGGACTGTACAGGGTAAACGAAAAAAAAACTCTACCCGATTATTTAGCGCACGCATGCTCTGGTGCGAATAGAGGGGTCGTCCCCTTTCTATTGTGCCCGCCACGGCCACCGGAAAACGTGATTTGGTATCCAAAATGTAAAATACAAAAACGTACCTTTCAAACGAACATACGGTGTAAAAAAAAAAAAAACGAGCTGCCCGACCGGCTCAAAAATCTATTCATGAACACACAATGGGACCCCAGGACCCTTCTTGGCCGTGTGCTCATCTGGTATTTCAAATTATTGTTATTGCAGTTGTTGTTATGGGCAGATGTCGTTGGAAAATTAATCCGGAGCAGATGTTTTTTTTCGTATTTCCATTATTTATTGTACGTAGTATAGGTACGGTTAATGGTTTATTGTACCTACCCATAATGGGGCCATGTTCC